ACAGTCAAGAATATTAGCCATGAAACCACAGTGAGAAAACATCAGACTACAGGTATGCACAGCATGGGCTTCCCTTGTAGTTCTGCTGCTGCTGCTGCTGCTGCTGCTAAGTCCCTTCAGTCGTGTCCGACTCTGTGTGACCCCATAGACGACAGCCCACCAGGCTCCCCCATCCCTGGGATTCTCCAGGCAAGAACACTGGAGTGGGTTGCCATTTCCTTCTCTAATGCGTGAAAGTGAAATCGCTCAGTCGTGTCCGACTCTTAGCGACCCCATGGACTGCAGCCCACCAGGCTCCTCCATCCATGAGATTTTCCAGGCAAGAGTACTGGAGTGGGGTGCCATTGCCTTCTCTGCCCTAGTAGCTCAGCTGGTAACAAATCTGCCTGCAGTGCAGGAGACCCTGGTTCAATTCCTGGATTGGGAAGATCCCCTGGAGAAGGGATAGGCTACCTACTCCAGTATTCTTAGGCTTCCCTGTGGCTCAGATGGTAAAGAATCTGCCTGCAATGCAGGAGACCTGGGTCGATCCCTGGGTTGGGAAGATCCCCTGGAGAAGGGAGTGGCTACCCACTCTAGTAGTATTGCCTGGAGAAGTCCATGGACAGAGGAGCCTGACAGGCTATGTAGTCTGTGGAGTCACAAAGAGTCAGACATGACTGAGCTACTCTCACTCACAGGTACACACAGAACACTGAGAGGACACATCAGAGAGGCACTGGGTTCCGCCTGGAGAATTCAGGAGGCTTGAGTTGATCTCGAAGGAGGAATAGGAGATGGCAAAGGGTGGGGTTTGGAATCCAGGAAATTGGAATAACATTTACAAAGATATGAAAGAATGAAAAAAGTACTGTGACAAGGAAGTCTCAAGTATTTCAGTATGACTAGAGTGAAGTGGGTGGGATTCTAGCTGGAAATAAGGCTGGAGAAATAGAAAGGGGTCATGTCATCAAGCACCTTGTATGTAACACTACTGTTTTTTTCCTTTATTCATAAGTAATGAGGAACAATTGAATGCTTTATTCTTTTTAAGTCAAATTTATTAAGGTATATTTAAGATACAATAAAAATACACCCATTTTATTGAGATATAATTTACATGAAAGTGAAAGTTAAGTCGCTCAGTCATGTCCGACTCTTTGCGACCCTGTGGACTGTAGCCCACCAGGCTCCTCTGTCCATGGGATTCTCCAGGCAAGAATACTGGAGTGGGTTGCCATTTCCTTCTCCAGGGGATCTTCCCGACCCAGGGATCGAACCCAGGTCTCCCACGTTGCAGGAAGATGCTTTAACCTCTGAGCCACCAGGCAAGCCCCTGTAAAAGTTTAAGGTATATAGCATAATGGTTTGACTTACATATATCATAATATGATTATTGTAATAAATTTAATGAACATCTGTCATTTCATTTAGTTACAGAATTAAAGAAATAGAAATTAAAAATGCTTCCCCGTGATGAAAACCCTTAGGAGTTATTCTCTTAACAACTTTCATAAACAGTACTGTTAATTATATTTATCATATTGTACATTACATCCCTGGTACTTACTTATCTTATAGCTGGAAGTTGATTCATTTTGACTGCCTTCACTCACTTCCCCCTCCCATCATCCTCAACTCCGATAACCATAAATCTGATCTCTTTTTCAATGAGTTTGTACGTTTGTTTCTGAAGCATAATTGACCTACAGCACTATGGTAGTTCCTGTTACCTGTCACAGTGATTTGGTATTTCTACACTTTTCAAAATGATCAGCACAATAAGTCTGGCTATGATATGTCACCATAAAAAGATATTACATAGTTTAATTGACTATATTCCCCACGCTGTACATTTCATAACTGTGACTCACTTATTTTGCAACTTGAGGTTTGTACCTGTTAGTCTCCCTCACCCATTAATTTCCTCTCCCCAACTCTCTCCCCCTTCCCTCTGGTGACCGTGTGTTTGTATTCTGTAAACATAACTCTGTTTCTGTTTTGTTATGTTTGTTCATTTGTTTTGTTTTTTAGGTTCCACATATAAGTGAAATCACACAGTATTTGTCTGACTTGTTTTATTTAGAGTAATACTTTCTAGGTCCATCCATGTTGTCACAAATGGCAAGATTCCATTCTTTTTAATGGCTGAGTAATATTTCACTGGGCTTCCCTGGTGGTTCAGTGGTAAAGAATCTGCCTGACAATGCAGGAGACACAGGTTCGATCCCTGGGTTGGGAAGATCCCCTGGAGAAGGAAGTTGCAAGTGAAGAACACTTCAGTGTTCTTGCCGTCAAAATCCTATGGACAATGGTGCCTTGCAGGCTACAGTCCATGGGATCACAAAAAGAGTAGGACACAACTTAGTGACTAAATAACAATATTCCATAATGCATCTACTTTATCCATTTATGCATCTTCTTTATGCATCATGTATTTATGGGCACTTGGCCTAGTATGTGATCTATCCTGGAGAATGTTCCATGTATATTTGAAAAGATTGTATAGTCTGCTGCTTTTGGATAGAATGTTCTATTGATATGAAGCCATTTTGTTTTAACGTGTCATTTTAAGCCTGTGTTTCTTTATCAGCTTTCTGTCTGGATGACCTGTCCATTGCTGTAAGTGGGATGTTAAAGTCAATTTCTGTGTGTTACTGTCAACTTCTCCCTTTATGTCTGCTAACATTTGCATCATGGGTTTAGATACTGATACCAGGCTCAGTGGTAAAAGAATCTGCCTGCAATGGAGGAGACCTGAGTTTGATTCCTAGAGAAGGAAGATCCCTTGGAGAAGGAAATGTCAAGGAAATATTGGAAAAGTCCAATATTCTTACCTGAGAAATCCCATGGACAGAGGAGCCTGATGGGCTACAGTCTATGGGGTTGCAAGAGTTGGAGATGACTTAGCAACTCAACCACCACTACCATGTTTGTTGCATGAACATTTACAGTTGTTAGGCTTCTTTTGGAACTGATCCCTTAATCATTAGGTAACGTCTTTCTTTGTCTCTTGTTATAGTCTTTGTTTTAAAGCCTATTTTGTCTGAAATAAGTATTATTACCCTGGCTTTCTTTTGATTTCCATTTGCATGGAATACTTTTTCCTTTCCTCTCCCTTTCAGGCTGTGTGTCTTTAGATCTGATATAAGTCTCTTATAGGCAACATATACTTGAGTCTTGTTTTGTACCCATTCAGCCATTCTGTGTCTTTTGACTGGTGCATATAGTTCACCTACAGTTAAAGTAATTATTATTTTTAAAAATATTTATTTATTTACTTGGCTGTACTGGGTCTTCGTTGCAGATGCTGGATCTTCAGTCTTAGTTGTGGCATGCAGGGTCTTTAGTTGCAGCATGCAAAGGCTTAGTCGCAGCATGTAAGATCTAGTTCCCTGACCAGGAATCAAACCGGGGCCCCCTGCATTAAGAGCTCAGAGTCATTGGGACCACGAGGGAAGTCCTCATTTAAAGAAATTATTGAAAGGTATGTACTTATGTCACTTTGTTAATTGTTTTGGGATTGTTTTCTTTTGTCTCTTCTCTTGTGATCTGAAGACTACTTTTAGTGTTTTGTCTGGATTCTTTCCTTTTTTCTATTTCTATTCTATTTGTGTATCTATTATAGATTTTTGATTTTTTGGTTTCTGTAAGGTTTATATATAACCATATGTATGTGATTGTGACTTCCTAGGTATTGTCAGTGGGAAAGAATCTGCCTGCCAGTGTAGACGATACAAGAGACATGGGTTTGATCCCTGGGTGGGGAAGATATCCTGGAGTAGGAAATGGCAACCTGCTCCAGTATTCTTGCCTGGAAAATTCCATGGACAGAGGAACCTGGTAGGCTACAGTCCACAGGGTCACAAAGAGTTGGATACAACCAAGTACGTGTGCACATGATACATATATGATTATTTTAAGTTGCTGATCTCTTACATACAAACACATTTTGATAACCCTGCATTTTTACTCCCTCATCTCCATTCCACATTTACTGTTTCTGACATTATATTTTCCATCTTTTTGTCTTGTGTATGCCTTAACTGCTTCTTGTGAATATAGATAATTTTAACGACTTCTGTCTTTAAACCTTCCTGTTAGCCTTAAACATGGCTGATTAACTTTGCTGTATATTTATCTTTGCCAGTGAGCTATTTCCTTTCGTAATTTTCATGTTTCTAGTTGCAGCCTTTTCTTTTTTGCTTAGAGAAGTCCCTTATTTTTCACAGATCAGGAAAGAGAAGCTCAGATTGATTATGTAAATTAGCTAACATAGGTGGGAAAAGGTACAGCAGTGTTTTGAGCCTGTGTCCTCGATCCCTTCCTAGTCTAGGGGTTCCTTATTTTTCTGTTCACACTTGTGTGAATGCAGAACTTTATTTGGAGAACCCCTATTCTGTGCTGTAGACTCTGCTAGTGTTAGGGGTACAACAATGAAAATGCATAGTTCTTGTTTCCACAGAGCTTAAAGGCTAGTGACCTTTCCAGTTTCCTTCCACTCTACCTGGAGAACATCTCAAGTGAACAGACTGAGGCACAAAAGAAAAAAGAGAAAAAGTGTTAAAGTCATATAATGGGTCACAATTTGGATACTTTAAAAAAAAAATATTTATTATTTAGCTGCAGCACTGGGATCTTTCCCTGGGGTGTGTGGGCTTCTCACACGTGTGGGATTCTAGTTCCCACCCAGGGATGGAACCCGTGTCCCCTGCATTGCAAGGTGGATTCTTAGCCACTGGACCACCAGGGAAATTCTCATTTTTGACCTAGCCTCCAGAACCATGCTGAGAGACTGAAGGGAATTGCATCTTCTGTTATGCCATTTCTTGGCTGGCCCAGTCACGGGGGTAGAGATCTGGAATGAAGAAATCCTTCTCAGCGAGGATTAAGTATAGAGATTTGGTGTGAGCTTAAAAAGGAGAGAGTATACAGAAGCACTCAGTGGGGAGAATGACAGATTGCGGCAATAACGGGGGAGTCTTGACGGAGGCAACTGAATTGAATGCATTTTCTTGTGAATGACTCACATTTCTGGAGTTCTTTCTGCGTGGTTGGCATTGTTCTCGGTACTGGAAGAAGGCAGAAGTAAAAGCTCTGGAGGCTGGAGATCAAGACGTTCCAAGAAGCGTCTGGCAGGTGAGGTAGGAGGCGGAGTGCGGAGGTGGTGGCGTTTCATTCGTGTGCTCCAGCGCTCTCCCTCCCTCCCTCTGGGGGCCCTTTTTCTATATCCTCTCCCCATCTGCACCCCCTGGGCCTCCAGAAACCAAGCTAGCACTGTCGTGTTATCCCAGTCGTTTGCAGAGGCACCTTGCCCAGGGCGGCACGCCTACTTGGGGATCAAACCACAAATGCCTACAGATACCAGCCAGGTCAGCCTAGTGACAAAAGAAGGATATTGTGGGGAACTGGTGTTAGGGGGTGCAGAGAACAGGACTGCTTCCTGTCCATCTCATTAGGACACCTGCTGCTGCTCTGGGTGTTCGATGATATTAACAAAATGAGGGCATCATGAGGTGGCCCATGGCTCCTGGAATGTGGGAAAAGTAGTTTTCATTCAAAACTTTATGTTTAAATATTGGAAATTCAGTTAATTTAAATATTTTTGTTGCAATTGATATTGGCCAAAATGAGTTTGGATAGGATTCCACTGGAGGCCTCTCTCGTCTCTGCTTCTGTCCTAGGTAATGCCACTCTATTTTTTTTCTTTTGCTCTCTAAGCCTGTCTCTCAATCCTGGGAAGTGACTACTCGACTAATTAATTTCCATGGTGATAATGGCTTAACAGCAATCAATTTACTTTTGTCTTCAAAAGCATGACCTCAAGATACTGAAACTAATAGGGAGAATTGAGCCTTCATGGGAGGTACTGCTGCTGCTGCTGCTGCTAAGTCGCTTCAGTCGTGTCTGACCCTGTGCGACCCCATAGACGGCAGCCCACCAGGCCCCCCCGTCCCTGGGGTTCTCCAGGCAAGAACGCTGGAGTGGGTTGCCATTTCCTTCTCCAGTGCATGGAAGTGAAAAGTGAAAGTGAAGTAGCTCAGTCGTGTCCAACTCTTAGCGACCCCATGGACTGCAGCCTGCCAGGCTCCTCCATCCATGGGATTTTCCAGGCAAAAGTACTGGAGTGGGGAGCCATTGCCTTCTCCCATGGGAGGTACAAGTGGTCACTAAGTGGGTGTGCCCTTTCTGTTTCAAACCATTTGGACAGCCTGTGGGCTCTGACCATGTAGAGGGTCAGCTCCCTCTTCAAGGGTTCAAAGATTGTTTATGAATGGTTTCATTTGGGTCTGGGGCTTGGAATGGAAAAGATGGCTCTAGGACATGGTACCTATGGAAGATAAGGGCAACTACCCAAAACCCCTCTTTGTGCAGTTTAGGTTTAACACTAAGGCTATGGCATTGTCCAGTATGGTAGCCATTAGTCACACATAGCTATTTAAACTTAATTAAAATAAAATAAGAAATCTAGGTCCTCAGTTGCACTAGCCACATTTCACATGCTCAGTAGCCACGATAGCTGGAGGCTACCGTGTTAGATGCTGCAGATACGGAACATTTCCATTGTCACAGAAAGTTTTGTCAGACAATGATGCTGGACCACCAACCTCACAAGGAAACAGGTTTGGGTATCAGGAGAACTGAGTTTTGGCCCTAACACAGCCATTCATTGGCTCTGTAACCTTGGGCAAATTCTTTAATTCCTCTGGACCTATTTCTTCACTGATAAGATGGGAATGATAACATTTTCCACAAAATTCCCTTGAGCATTAAAGGAAGGACAAACACACTGACACTATAGTTATTAATAATGTTACCCCACCTCCCACCCCCAGCCAGAAAGCCGTCCTCTATGGGGGGCAGAGCTGAGTCTTATACTCAGGAAGAACCTTTTCTCCTCCCCAGTCTGGTTCTAGGATTTCACTGCCCAGTCTGGTTCTAGGATTTCACTGAATTAGTTTTGCTTGTTAGCATAAACTCAGAAAGATTCCCTGTGTGCACATAGGCAGGGAAGATAAGCAGAAAGAAAGAACTAGGATGTGGCTGGTGCCATAAGAGTTGTGTAGAGCACGACTGTCCCAGGTGGCCTGAGACAGGTTCAGGGTTGAGCATGCACCTGGCAACAGTTAACCAAGGAGAACCCAGGGGTCACGCAGGTCTGGTTAACTGTGGACACTGATAGTGCTGGAGATCAATGGGGACTAGAGTAGTGCTTGGCATGTGGTAGGAGCTCAACAAATACTTGAGATGAATACTTGAAATGTTGCTAGAAATTAATACAACATTGTAGACCAGCTATGTTGTTGTTGTTACTCTTTTGCGACCCCATGGGCTGTAGCCCACCAAGCATCTCTGTCCATGGGATTTCCCAGGCAATAATACTGGAATGGGTTGCCATTTCCCTCTGCAGGGAATCTTCCTGACCCAGGGTTTGAACCTTTGTCTCCTGCATTGCAGGTGGATTCTTTACTGCTGAACCACCAGGAAAAGCCAAAATCAGCTATACTCAAATAAAAAATATATAAAAAAGAAATACTTGCTAAACGAATGAATGAATGAGCTACATAGAGGGTAAAGGCCAACAGGCAGCTTCTGGTAACCCTGGCTTCTGTGATGGCTTCCCCATCAGTATAAAGTCTTAGTTGATGGAGGAGGGGAACAGTAGAAGGTGGGATTAGTTTGCAAAAATAATAAATACGGGGTGGGGGGTGCATATAATAGCCTCTATTTATTGGCCAGCTATGTTCCAAGGATCCTGCATGTTTACTCCTGCTGAATACTCTGCAAAGTACGTGTCTTTATTCCCATTTTATCCAAGATTGAGTTGCCCAGAGTCACCTGGCTTTGTGCAAGCATCCAGTTACAGATCTGAGATTCAAACCTAAAGTCCTTATCTTTCCTGTGATGTCAAATTACTCTTAACAGGTAGCGTGTGCTCTCTGAGGAGGCCTATGCTGCCCGAGCTTTAATGCAAGAAGTTGCAAGAATCTCTACTCTTCAGGTGGACTTCCTTTTTAAAAAAAATTTTTTTTAATTGTTTATTTATTTTTGGCTGTTCTGGGTTTTCATTGCTGTGTGCAGGCTCTCTCTTGTTGCAGTGAACAGGGGCTGCTCTCTAACATATCAGCTTCTCATTGAGGCGGCTTCTCTTTTTGCGGAGTTCGGGTTCAGTAGTTGTGGTGCATGGGCCTAGTTACTCCACAGCGTGTGCGATCCTCTCTGACCAAGGATGGAACCCTGCCTGTGTTGGCAGGCAGATTCCCAACCACTCAACCACCAGTGAAGTCCCCAGGTGGACTTCTGACTTGGCTGATGCTCTCTTTGGGTTGGCTTGGTTGGTAGATGAACTTGTTCCTGCCCATACCATTTATACAATGATTTCACAGCACTTTACTGTCCCGGCCTTGAACATACATAGTGGTGAAGTTGTTTCTCTCAGTTGAAAATGGAGAATCCATAACACTAGGAAGTTACAGGATTTGTTCAACAGCATAAGACAACGGGTCATTGTTGGAGTCTATAGGGAAATGAGGACATTCAGGAGAATGTGGTTTCGTTGCTAAAGTGAAAGTGAAAGTGAAGTCGCTCAGTCGTGTCTGACTCTTTGTGACCTCATGGACTGTAGCCTACCAGGCTTCTCTGTCCATGGGATTTTCCAGGCAAGGGTACTGGAGTGGGTTGCTATTTCCTTCTCCAGGGGATCTTCCCCACCCAAGAATCGAACCCGAGTTTCCTGTATTGCAGGCAGATGCTTTACCCTCTGAGCCACCAAGGAAGCCCCACTCTTGTGATCCCACAGCCTGCCAGGCTCCTCTGTCCTCTGTCCATGTGATTTCCAGGCCAAGAATACTGGAATGGATTGCCATTCCCTTCTCCAGGAGATCTTCCTGACCCAGGGGTCAAACCCAGGTCTCCTGCATTGCAGGTGGATTCTTTACCAACTGAGCCACCAGAGAAGTGTCTCTCTCAGTTGAAAATGGAGAACCCACAGCACGAGCAAATTATATAACTTGTTTGAGAGCATAAGACAGTAAGTCATTGATGGAGTGTATAGGGAAATAAGGATATTCAGGTGATATTCGAGGAAGTGAAATGGATCTGTGACATGTCATTGTTTGTATCTACTGCTAATTTGTAGAATTGTTTATGCTTTTTGCTTCTTCAGCTTCAATGCTTATAATTGTATAGTCTAGTATATAACAAAATACTAATATCAAGTCCTTGTGGTTCACATAGAACACAGGTGTCAATCACAGGCTATTCTGCTTGGAGGTTGTTTGTCTGATGCAAAGGGGGTATCTGGTTACCAGACCCTATTTGTTACTCATGTTTCTACTAACACCTTTGTGGATGCTCTCCTTAACAAGTCTACATGGTCCAGGGTGTGTGAATGCATGAGTGGTCAGAAAGAGGCAGGCAGATCCTTTCAACCAAGGTCCTCCCTGGACTTTTCCTTTTCCTTTTACCACCTAGGTGATGTCTTCCATTTGTGGATGTAGCCACATCCCCTCATGTTTCCGTGAGGATTGACCTGTGGGGGGGGTGGTCTAGTGGTTCTGGGCAGAGTCTGCTGTAGATGGGATGCCCACACCTCCATTCAGGGAATTGTTGGAAGGCACCCTGGAGGGAAGAGAAGAGAAAGAAAGTGGAAATCAATCAGAGCAATTGATAGTTGCCCTGAGGCAGTGTTCTTCATAATTAGTTATATGAGACACTAGTTCCATGAGCTTTTTTGTGATAAAAGGATTCTGATCCAAAGATTTCAGGGATAGTGCATATTATATCATCCATGTGGAGCTTCACAATGCAAATAGGCATATTAAAGCTTACCAAATGCCCTACAGAAAAGAAATTCAGTTTTTTTTTTCACTTAATGGTAGTTAAGTGTAGTTCTTCTAAAATTTACTAGAAAACCCCATCTCTCCACCCCCTTCACCACCCACATCTCTTAATACCTCAGGAAAACAGCATTGGAGGAAGATGAAGATGGAGAAGAAGATGCAACCTACTGCCTAAAAGAAAGTGTGAGCCCTCTTTCCATGGTCTGTTGCTCAAATTAGTAAATCTGAAACTCTGTTCAGTAAACCACCAAGGGATCAGGGGACTTCCCTGGTGGCTCGGATGGTAAAGAATCCACC